ATGGGATAGTAAGTGTAGTGGGAAAAGAATATGGTCTTTCATTATTTGCAGGTGATGGGGCCATTGAGGAAGGAACCTCACCTATGTTTTCAACCTAATTAAAAGAACTCTGGGTTGAGTGGGCCAATGATGGGAGCTTCAAAATTTCCACGGACAACACAAAATACATGAAATTGGGATATAAAAAGAAATTGCCAAAACAAAATTCTTAAGTGTGTGGTAGGTTCTGACAGAGAATCAGTGATAATGATTTATAGAGCAATGCTAGATCAACATTGGGAATTCCTGTTAAGAGTTGGAAAGTCCAAAGCAAACTTTGGAAATAAGATAAAATTTCTTTCATTTAAGCTGGTTCACCACACAGATAATACCAATAAACAACAGTTCACCCTGTTTCTTCTGAAGGTGCTGATAAGGTCAATAACCATAACAAACAGCCACTGTCCCTGATCACTATCCATTGTATAGTCTATGTGGAACTAGAGTACCTTCTGTCAAACATGATACTGAGTAGGGGAAAAATGACAATGACTGTTTTATAATGAGTTGTGACGAACATCAGGTAATATAAGAGTGATAAGCCTACATTGTACTGAGGTGACCTATCATAATAACACCAAAAATAATGATTTCTCTTTTAAAATCAGTTCACACCGTAGTCATTTCATTATTCTGCCATTGAGATGATGGTATCCACGTGAATAGCCCGCCCTTCTTACTTTAAATATGGTCGACTAAAAACATGATGGCGGCAGAGAATGCTGCAGTAATGAGTCCTACAACTCGGAAATTAGTTATCCTTTTAGCACTTTGGGTTCCCTCGTCTCGCGAGCATTTTGAATGGGTTTTTGGTTCGATGCCTGAAATAATTGGCATGTGGTTCACTCAAGCAGTTATGATATTGCAATATTATACGCACGCGCAGACTTGTGTGTGAAAACTAAACTTGGCATCAAATGAAGAGGAACCAGAAGCAAGTAAACCAGTAAATTACAGTGATTTATCGTCTCTATATAAGATCTGCTGTAAGTTTGAGAAGTTTTAGACCGAATATTGTTACACAAATTGAGCAGCGGTGAAGCTGGCGATCGGGGCAGAAGTTAGCTAGTTAGCTTAGCTAGTAGTTAGCAGTATAGCTGTGAACGTACAGTGGGATGTTTGTGCACTTTAGGCTGTTTGTCAGTAAATAAATTTCCTCCTCACGACCCATGTTCCGCATCTCCCCCGTGCTTCCCAACTACAGTCCTGGGTCCAGACTACGAGCCAGGGAAGGTTAACAACATTCAGACAGGTAAATGCAGGATTCTTCATTGTCACTGAAGTGTGTCATTGTCAGTTAATAGTAAACATGCTGAAGATTACCATAGATGTGACAATCTTTCCTCCATAGTGCACTTTTGATGCGTTAACTGTCTGTTGAGAAAAATAATCCAAACTTTTTCAGCCAGGAAGGAGAAAGGTGAAGTTTTCCAGGCAGAGAGCAGCAAGATCATGAGACAGGACAGGCCCTGAATTTAATTTGCTACTACTACTGTCATGAAAAGGTAAGTTTTAGTCTGGCCCATATTAGTTGGCAACTTGGCTCTGCTTCCCTATCTGTTAAAGTCACAGCGCACCACTGCTTCCTCTTCTTGTTCCTCTTATTTGTTTTAATGGCCAGTTGCAACCATATGGATCATTATCACCATCTACTGTTGAGTCCTTGTGTTCCTGTTATCAATCCAGTGTCATTTAGGTAGATAAAAATATGATTCAAAACATCTTTCCCAGGATTTTTTTGTAAAAATAGCTGAAAGATCCACGTGTTTGATCCGTTCTTGTTCCAACTGAGTCCTTGATAGGTCCCTCTCATTTTCATATTTTGGGCAGACAAAAAACACATGTTCCACAGACTCTTTTTGATTGCAGATGTCACAGTTTCCAGATGCATGTTTTCCTATGAGATGTAACGATGAATTAGTTTGGTATGACCTAATCTTATTCTACTAATCATGTCCTGTTCTCTCTTACTTTTCCCCAATGTCTTTTCCACTCCAACCTACATGCCACTGCTGTGCACATGTGTAGAACAAATTTAGTTTCTGGTATGGATCGGGAAATGACACACCATTGGAGAAGAAGCCGCTTTCATCTTGCTGTAGTATCCCATTACCATCCCTGGCTCCATGTATTGTCAGCGATCAGTAACTAAAATACTCAAATACCCTCCTCTTAATCATACTGGTCTCTAAACAGTCCCTGACCTCAGCAAAGCAGGACACTTCGCCCAGGCTCTTCCTGTGTGCACAGAGAAGTCAATTGCAGGTTACCGGTCTGGAGGTAAGTCTGACAGCGTCAGAAATTTTAAGTTCACTTTCTTATCAGAGATCCTACATTGATGTGATTGGTAAGAGGATTTACTTGCATGGAAAAAGTACAGAAATTAACAGGCAAAACACTGCTTGAGACCTTTTATGACTTTGGTTGAGATGAGGAATTACTTATGAGGAAAAACTGAACTAAAGTGAAACATTAACAGAGATTCAGAGAGCAGCCGGAGTAATCGGACACAACAGACTCTTATGTGCATACCAAATGGACACCACGACCCTGGTCGATAAAGCTCGCACAACGACAAGTATAATATACTAGTATATAAATATTCGTCTTTCCCTCACAATCAAAAGCCCTACTCCACTGCTTCAAGTAATTCACGTTAATTCAAGACAAAATTTCGTCAGAGAAAATAAAGGAGTTTGTGGATATCTTGCTGGACTCTCTCTCTTCCCCTAGTGGTAAGGGGGGACCTTTTTCACCCACGTTCAGTGACTAAATTGTGAACTGATGATGGTTGCCTGGCTCCCGTGGCAGCTAGCTGCAGCTTGTTGCCTGGCCTTAGCTAGCTGGCTCCCCCACTCCAGCAGACTAATTCTATGAGTTGATGATTTCAGAAATTAGTTAAGCAAAGCTCAAAAATCTGAAATAACACTTGTATTGAACCCAATTAAAACAGGCTAAATAGGTCTCACACAGAGAGAGAAAACCTTGAAGACAACATAGTACAAATATCTTGAATAAAACCACTGAATGTAATATTACAGCCAGTGATAAGTACAAAAAAACCTTAATGTTTTTTTTAATATGCAATGAATATTAGCACTTTCCCATTAAAAAAAGTTTGTTTGAGTAAAAAACAGTAAGCAACAACTATTTGCATGAACTTCTTTTTTTTTCTTGCTGACTTGAGTTAAGGACTTCTCTCAGCATTTTCTCTCTTCTCTTTCTCTCTCTTTGCAACTTGGAATACAGTTTGTATGATTTTGTCACCTATTTGCAAAAATGTGCCCATGATTTCCAACAATGAATTCAAATAGTTGAGAAAAATTGTAATATGGAAGAATAAATGAATCAGTCTACAGTTAAAATGTAATCAGGAGAATATTCCTGATAAGGTGGTTATTAATCTTTTTTTCCTTGTTTGTGGGGGCAGTCTGTGAGAAAGCCGTCCCATGAAGCACAGATGGTCTCCTCTTTGGATAAAGCATATTACTATATATGCAGTATGTAAAATTGAAAGGGATTTGTTGGTATAGGGTATTTACTGAAATAAATTCAGTCATAATGCCGCAGTGGACCTATGACTCTACCCTAAGTGTGACCTGACCCAATACCAATGTTGGGCCACTTCTTTCAGTAACATGCAGTTTCTTCTGTGAGAGCTCTCTGAGCTGTAACGTAGAGTTAGTTTCTTCTTTGAGAAAGTTTATGTTGTTGCTGAAAAGACTGTCTACGCAGCTTTTGTTGTGATGCTTTTTGACCCTGTTACTGAGCACAATTAGCACAATTGGAAAAAAGAAAAAAAAAAAGGTAGGCCTACTAGTAACATGTATAGTTGTACTGCATTTGTTGTTTCCATACATGTAAGCTCATGTAAATAGTCTCCACCATAACAGAGAAACATTTGCAACAACCTGGTGCATCTTTGAGAGCGATTAATGAAAGTTTATTCCAAAGGTTGCAAATAAACATTCAAAAAACAAATGTTGGCACAGTTGTTGGCACAACTTTTGGGTTGCCAGGTTATGGAAAATCCACCTCCAGTATTATGTTTGTCTTTTTAGTTCTTTAATTCATTGGGGTGACCTCTCCAAGCTCCAAATGTCTTCTGGAAACGTTTTGTTAAGAGAACACAACTGCAGACTGTTTATAATCTTACAAAATTTTCAATAAAATTAAAAAAAAAAAAAAACAGACTAGACATTATCAGCTTTACTGCTTACTTTTTGCGGTGTCTCAAAACAACTACACTTAAACAACACCTAGCTATGATCTGCATGGCAAAGAGGGCATTTTACTATGATTACGAAGACAGTTCTTTAAATGCCGCTGTCACGCACGAATTTCTTCTTTTTTTTCTTTTTTTTTTTTTCCAATGTCTGCCACGGACAGTTATGCTCTGTAAAGCTCAACGGTGAGCACTGCACAGGTTCCGGGTTGTAAACCAATAGAGAACAACGCGAAATGAACTTGAAGTTCACCGATTTTGTCTTCAAAATAAAAGCACCAAATTCTTTTATTCTTGGTGTTCGTTTTTTTCTACCCACACGAGCTAGTCTCGAGGATTGCGGTAACGTGAAGCTTAAGTCAAGTTGCATCATCATTTAGAGCTAAATGACATGTTTTATGTACAGTATTTATACCTATATTTGAGCTAACCTGTCAATTCAATTTCCTTGTGTACATCTTGTGCAAAAACCTGTTGTTGGACCCCTATACCCCTCTTCATTAGGCCACTGGTGTGAAAAATGCAACTTCTTGAGCAAAATCAACACGTATTGCCTACAGCGCAAAACACTGGACGTTTTGTAAGTTCCTATTTATTGTGACACATGAGGTAGTACCTTATTGAGTAATTGACCTCTCTTAGCTTATTGAGTTCAACGGCTTTTATTTTGGAAAAAAGGCGTAGCCTATCTAAAACATCCCTGGTCGCTTGGCGGTACCAGCTAAGATAGAAAAGGACATCTGCAGTTATGTCACATCACACCAGGCGAGTTGATGTGAGTGGGGAACAGACACGGTGCGCTTTGCATGTGCACGTTGCTTTGTGTTGTAGCATTTCCTCACTGTCTTAATTGGGCGTAGTATTGGCTTTAATTGAAAATCATCAATCACCGTAGTAAACCAGATGTTTATTGAAGTACAATGTCGGTTTGATAAGATCACCATAGGGTGAGCCTGTGATTTAATTTACTCGTCAGGGTTGATCCAGTGGAGTCGATGCAGCTGGTTAACTCTAAATTTAACCGGATTTGTCATTTTTCGGATGTATGATAGGCTACAGTGTAGAACAGCACCGTCTGACTGTATACTATAACTGCATAACTAGTAAGTCACAATGGAGGTCGGTGCCGAAAATTCAAAGATACCATGTGATGAGACAGATTATGCTCTGAAACCCTTGGATCTCAAAGTGATCGCCGGGAGGAGAGCGGATGTAGAGGCTCAGAGACCCACATGGAGCGGACGGCTGGAGTTCATCCTGGCATCGGTGGGCTATGCTGTGGGACTGGGCAATGTCTGGAGGTTTCCCTACCTGTGCTACAGCAGCGGTGGAGGTGAGACTGTCTAAGAGGTCAAGAATGCTGGCATGCTGGTATACAGATGTATTTAACCTACTGTGAAATGGCGGTCCATTTTCCATATAGCTCCTTGAGGGTGGTGCTGTTGTATAGCCAACAAAATACATACAATAGCTGTACAAATACACTAAAAGCAGCCGGGATCAATTTGATAGGGCCATAGATAAGGAAAGGAGACGTGTGCAACATCAAACCTGAAATACTTTTTTTGTTTTGTTTCAGAAATGTATTAATTTATATAATTTATAAAATATTCTCACCAATAATTTACACACAATTGTTTTGAATTACAAAAGAAGAAAGAAGAATCAGCAACCTTAAATAAATGTTATACAAGCAAATTTTTTCTCATGGTCATGATTTACTATATCATAACAATGACTCAGCAAGATTCAGTACGGAAACTGTAGCTGTTGTTAAGCAAGAGTTTCAACGCTATTGATTATCATTCTCACTGAATTGAAATAAGTTATGGTTTATTACTTATTAAGATGTGGGTGTACACTAATAAGCCATCAAGCCCACAGTTATAATTAAAAGAAAGTAATTCATAAATGAATGCCCAGATCTGAGTTTTCCCTGAGAATAGAGGGTTATGTGTTTTTCATAGTTAAAGGACAAGTCTATCTAAAAAGAAAAAGCTACAAAAGATATTTAGCCTATGTAGCCTCAAACCCTGGCATTCCCAAAATGAGTTTCTATCAATAGATTACCACAGGTTATAAGTGATTTGTTAAACATTAGTTAATACTTTATTAACCACTTATAAAGTCATCAGTAACAACTTAACTGTTAAATATGTTTTATCTAAACAGTGACAGCAGCTACCACATCATGTTTATCTCTCCAGGCAGCATTACTCAGGAGGAACCTATAAAGCATCTTCTCTTTCTTCTTCTGGTTCAGGTGCCTTCATGGTCCCTTATCTCACCATGGTGCTCCTGTGTGGCATTCCTCTGCTCTTCATGGAGTTTGCTATCGGGCAGTACACTCGTTTAGGGCCAGTGCATGCGCTCACCAAAATTTGTCCTTTGTTAAAAGGTGAGTGACTCTCCAGGCCAAAGGCTCCTCATGTGATGAGGATGAACATCTGATGGATTTTCCTTCATTAACACACAATGTTTTTTCACTATTGGAGCCTGCATAAAATAGGACATTTATGTTTGCATGTGTTGCTGTGCTCACTTCTAAATACAATAAATTACTTAATCCTTACCAAATATTTGCATTAAAATTATTTCAATAGGCTACATTGCCAAAACTAACAGGTGCATCCCCTAATACCTTTTAGAAAACAAAATTCAGAGATCAGTGATTTCATTAAGCAAAAGGATGATAAAATAACAGAACGTTCCACCAGAGAAAGCAGACAATTGTGCCACTACCCATGTAAGCTCATTCAGGCCAATGACTGATCTAAAGGGATATATATCAGGGAATGAGGATTTATTGTTTTGTTTTTTTTCCTTCACTACATTTTTGAGACGAGGAAAAGGTTGATACAATTCACTGTTGAACAAATTACTACCCCCAAAAAGTTGATTATTAACTATCAGTCCAAGAAATCCCAATCAATCAACACAGTATGTAAACAAAGAGCTCCACATTTTTGAGCTAGATCATTACAGGAGAGGGCTAGGCATCAGAGTAGGAATATAAAATACTCTAAACAGTATGGTCCTATCAACTGATCTGGATCATTTAATAAGAGGCTGATACATTGTTCATTTATTTAAAATTTGTAACAAAAAATTTAAAATAAAAGATTAGACAGGACTTTATTTCTCTCCATGGGCAGGGCAGTTAAATGCAGTAACAATAATTGCTGTCATTGTTAGAATCATTTGTTAGGGGAAACGATATGTATAGCTGAATAGAACAGAGAACAGGAAATAAGAAAATAAATAACCCAATAAAGTAGCCTGCAGTTGTGTACCAATAAGCTTTACTGGAAGTGATGATTGCTTGATTTAATGTAACACTCAAATATTTTGTGAAAGTTAGCCCTGGTTCCTGTTAGTTGTAACTTGTATGTATTTGCTGTTCCCATCAATGCCTAGTTATCAGGTAACATGGCACATGTGCTGACTCACAGGTGAATAAGGAAAAAAACAAACAAACAGCAATAGTTTATTAATGTCGGGAGTAAAGTAGATCCTTCCGTGAGGGAAGAATGCACTGAAATCTTCCCAGTCATGTATTTAAAGCTGGTGCAGAGACGCCCTCAGGATTGACCAGGTGATGACGATGATTGACAGACAACCTTAAAAACAGGTATAATTACATATTATATGTACCTTATCAAACATGACACAGCATGACCTAAAGCAAATTCTTCATGTAATTAAAGATGAGTTGCTGTAGTGAGTCTCGCCTAAAGCCACAATTCTTCACAGATGAATAAATCATCTTTCAGGTTGTGATAAACCTACTCAATTGCTGTCTAAAAATTTACTTGGATGAGCTGTTGCAGTGGTTTTACACTGACTGGCCACTGAGTGAACTTACAGTCATACAGTAAATGAAAATGTGTCCTGTTTGATAGGTTATAACGTCTTTTTATATCTGCCATGGGGGTCTTGTATTTAGTTTGTTTTGCCAAGATATCCAAAAATGTCACAATTGCAGTTAGATGTGATGGGAAGTTAGGCCAGGAGCCAAAGAACAAGCTAAGCTTTAAGCTTTTTCAGAAATCTTTTGAAAAGTTTTTTGTACATTGTGAGATAGGAATTTGTCACTGTTTTCTCAGGACATACTGCTTTAAATAAATTTAAAAAAAATCTTGCACGTTTATCCCATGATCCTCTGTCATTATGTGCTTGATGCTCCAGATCCAAATGAATATTTAAAACTGATCAATTTTTAACCCTGGTGAAGGCATGCTCTTTCTGAGTGCCTCTAAGTTTGTAACAAAGTTTTTCTATTTGATAAATGAATTGTTTTAACATGTTGATGGATGAGAACTTGTTAAGCAAAATTTACAATCACTATAATCAGTGTATTTTTTATTTATTTATTTTTTTACTTCATGTTTTTTCAAAAGTAAATTCTGGGATTTCTTTCTGTAATTGAATGCATTTTAAATTCACAGAAAGAAATTGTCAAATAATTCGAATGTGAACCAATATTCTTAAATTCTGCATATTTGAATGATAGTTAAATCAAATGTGGGTGACTGAAGGTGTGTTTCTTACAGTCCACATAAGTTGTTAAAACAAATTGTAAACATCTGGCTAATTGTGGCTCAGTACAATGGGTTGTTTGTTTTAAGGGGTTACAGTGCTCATGAAAAAAAGGAGGTATTTGCAAAACTGTAAATCAAATATGTGAATGAACTGGGATGTGTGGACTTGGAGAGCACTGACAGTCACTTGGCAGCTCATCAAACAAGACCCCAGCCATCAACAATCAGTACTTATGGGTGTGAATTGAAAATGATATCTGCCTTGTTCTAACTTAAGATTTTTCTCCATAGTTTTCTTATCTCCTTAAAGACAGAGATTATCTACCCGGTCAAAACGTATGGGTCCTTCACTTGATTTATCGCTCATTTCTTCCTGGTTAATGCTCTGTGCTAAACAAGGGCCAAAAGCAGGTAGTTTTTCTGTATGTTCTTTTTGAATGATTTCCCTGTGCAACCCAAGTGCAGTTTACTGTGATGTACCTGTGATCAGTGATTCAGATGCCCACAAATATCTATCACAAATCAACAAACATGCTCATTTGTAATTCACTGCAGTAGGCTTGATCATAGCATAATTTTAGCTGGAGAAATTTTTTTACCACTCAGGACTGTGTTGATTGTCCAATTTGTTTCAATGAGGGCAATGTACTTAACAGGTGAAGCATGACAGGGTAATGAAGTAAGAACTGGAGACAGAGGAGGATAGCTCTAACTGATTCCCTCTATCTTTGTCCACCCCCCCCGCCTTGTTATTGAGTCCAGCAGACTGATATGTTTTGTCAGTTGGAAATGAGGCATCACTGCACCACGTGGAGTTTGTCTGGTGTACCAGTGGAGCACTCGACCATGTAAGCTAGACGTGTAGACTGAAAGAGGCAAACAGGCAATAACAAAGGAAGGAGTGCTCAACGTGGACTATACCCAGTGGTTCTAGCTGATCCTGGAGCTCAGAGGGGGCTTCCCTTGGCTCTGTCATGATGTTGACACAGAGTTGTTTTTCAGCCGCCTCTCCTTCCACTTTATCAGATAGTGAGATTGGATCCAGTGGAGCATGGCATTCCAGCCTGTCCACAACAAGTAGGAAAAAAATGTTTTCAGGAGGCAAAGTTTTTATATACCTCTGAAAACAGCAGAGAGAATTGTCCTCGCTTTTGCTGCCATCATTGGAAAACACACACAAAGATAAACAAATATGGCAAAGAAAACATGATGCAAAAGGTCAGGAGCAGGAACAGAAATTTTGGAAATTCGCTTGTTTGCTTTCTTGCTGAAAATGCGATGAGAAGTTTGATGCCGCTTTATAAGTCTTGCATGTTATGTATGTTTTCTTAGCTAAGCACAAAGACTGGAAACAGGAGGAAACAGCTAGCTTGGCTCCGCACAAAATATGAGGTAAACATGACAGTTAGTTGTTATGGGGGTTGTGGCCAGATGATTTCTTGGCCAGGACCAGCAACAAGAAATAGTCAAGTCCATCACCCTTTCAAAAGTTTTTTTATACAGATTAAACAAACAAGATTTTATATTTTATATATTTTATATATTTTAGAGGTGCTAATATGCAATGTAGTCCATTTTGAGCGATGCAGGCTAGCTATTTCCCCATTTCCAGTCTTTCTGCTAAGCCAAGTTAAACTGACTGCTTGCTCCAGCTACATATTTATCATGTATGTGAGAAAGATGTTAAATTTTCTCATCAAACTCCCTGCAAGAAAGTGAATAAGTGTATTTCCCAAAATGTTGAACTAGTCCTTTAAACAACTGTTCTCAGAATATAAAAGTTTACAGTTCTTTTGTTGTGTCAGATATTTCATAAGTACTCCTCTTGTATTTAACAGTGTTAAAACCTGTCCACTCTACTGAAGTGTCCTTGGGCAAAATAATGAACCTCTACCTGCTCGACAGGCCAAGCTTTTTAGCTGAGTCATTGCCCTGAGCTCCCTGAGGGGGAGACAGGTGAAAAATTAGAAACGCACATATAGCACACATAGACATACACACCCCAACCTGAAACCTGACACAGAGGCCAGGAACCACAGGTGTTAAAAGACTGAATAATTTACATCTGTTGGAGGACTTTGATCTCACCTTTACTCACTTTGGTCAAGAGCCTGTTATATTCACCAGCCAAATGACACAGTGGAATTTCTAATCCATGGCTCAAGGAATTCCTTTTATCTGTGGCCGAGTTTGCTTGACTTCACCTTGGCCACCACTGACCAGAGATTACCCGTCTTCTCTGTTGTCTGTCTTTATATGAAGCCTACATTATACTTCCCATAATTCTAAACCTGGGCCAAAATAATTGACACTTCATTGCAAAATATGGAGTTTGAGAGGGATTTTATTACAATTTTAAGAAGTAAAGTGTACAATTTCTTCCCCTACAAGTGGCATGGCTTCTGCAGAGTTGTCTCTCAGTTCTGTCTTTTTTCCCCGCCGCGTGTCACTTTGCAGGTGTTGGTCTGGCCACAGTTGTTATCTCCTTTGTGTTCTCCACGTACTACAATGTGCTCATGAGCTGGGCACTTTACTATTTCTTCAACTCGTTCGGAGCGACGCTTCCCTGGAAGTCTTGCAACAACACTTGGAATGCCATCGAAAACTGCTCCAGTGGTTTCCCCGGCAACGCCACCCACCTGCAGTCTGCCAGTCAACAGTTCTTCGAGTGAGGAGACTTCAGTTCCTTTATTAAGTGCAGAAATTTACTGTATCTATGTATTGACAGTATTTGTAGAACCACTCTAGCTGTTTTTTTTCTCTGTCACACTTACTGCACAAACATCCATCTTCTTACTATAGAGTGATCTGGGTCTTACATGAACACACATCATCTGTCAGGGTTTTCGAGGACATCACTTGCTATTTGTATGTTCACTCCTCTTTTTCCATTTTTCCAGCCACAGGCTCCTGGAGAAAACCAGTAGCATTGAAGAAGCTGGTGGCCTTCGCTGGGAACTCCTTGGCTATCTCCTTATTTCCTGGGTCATTGTGTATTTTTGCATATTTAAAGGAGTTAAATCCACTGGCAAGGTCAGAATCATGCTGCTTTTCTGCAAGATGTGTTTTTGCATAGTGGTTATTGAGATATCTTTTTGTGTTGGTCCCAGTCTTTGATATCATTGTTTGAAAACATGTTGCCTTGTGACATTGTGTCTTATAATACCGGGGATAAAGACAAGGACGTTTATAGGTTTCCAGGAATATAGTGTATAGTCTGTAGTCTGTAGTCTGTAGGTTAAGTCAATGTTTTCACGGATGAGATCTACAATATTAACTGTTTGTAATTCGGAAAAGTGTTTGTACAATGCACTTTTGATGCGTTGTATTCTGCAGTATATACACACAAATCATCTTCAGAGGTGTCACAGAAAACGGGTCCAGCACGCTCATCTGTCACAGCCTCACCTAAACAACAAACCCACCCACTGATCAATTTCTGCTCTTCCCTCTTTGTGTCACACAGGTCGTGTACTTCACCGCTGTATTTCCGTACTTCATCTTGTTCGCCCTGCTCATCAATAATGTGCAGCTTCCTGGAGCCAAAAATGGGATCCTCTTCTTTTTGACACCTGTCTGGAGCAAACTGTTTGAAGTGAAGGTGAGACTCTGTTAATGAATGAGTAACAGAAAAAAAATAGGCTACTCCTTAGGAACTTGGTTACACATTGGCCCAATACAGTAGAGACTAACTTTTAGATGTTCAAATGCATGTATTAATTTTCCTAGGTTCAGATAATAGGTTTTATTTTTTTTGCTCAAACTAAAAAAAAAAAAGCACACTTCGATTGTTCCCAGTAGAAGTTAAACAGTGGAAAATTTGACTTTTAGGTAATCAGAGGATAGAAAGCTAAACTAGAGTGATAGTTTCCCTTTGATATTAAGTGAAATCCAGAGCAGGAGCTCACAAATGCCGAAAACTGTAATGTGAAGGATTCAAGACTCTTCAGACTTTGGCAGAAAAGGTTTTGTTCATGTAGGATCCCATTACTCAGGGTAAAAAAAAAAAGCTGATTAAGAAAACAGGGCCTTTCAAACTGCTTAAAATGAAACAATGCTAAAATTAATTGTCATGCTCTCCTTTTATCTCCATCCTAGGTTTGGGTTCATGCAGCTGCTCAGGTGTTTAACTCCCTTGGAATAGCTTTTGGCTCCATGATTTCGATGGCTAGTTACAACAAGTTCAACAACAACATTCTCAGGTAAAGACTGGATGTTTGGAAAGGTTATACTATGTCTTTGACTTGAAAGACAAAATCTGTTTTCTTATATTATCAGTAAAAAAAAGTAGTTTATTGGACTTGGATATTATACTTAATAGCCCAGGCATGTTAACAGCACATTCATTATATAACAAGACAAACACTTTTTTTTTTTCTTTTTGATTCTCTGAATATACATTTTAGGCCACGATCGCAGACCTCAAATAAAACTGATTTCAATTACAAATACATAAAAGAAAAATGTCATGCTTACCGTTTTCCAAAACCATCCACTGTACAGTTGACAGTGTGTTGTGAGGTGAACAGCAGTGCTCTCAGTTGTCTGCATTGTTGTGGCAGCTTCCACATGGCTTGGGGACAGATTGTTTATGGAAGACGCTCAACTTTTGGTCTCTTCTTTTGGTGTCAACTCCATACTAAAAAGGTCACTACTGTCCTGCAGAGAACTGAAATGAACCCTGTCTGCTAAACTCCCAGCCATCCACATTGGAGGGAGAAATAGGTTTTTATAGGAAATTAAGTTTTATTAGTAAGTATTATTAGTTTATTTAGACCAGGAGGAGATGAGGGGTGTTTAAATATAGTTTCCATTATCCCACCAGTGTAGGCCTCAGATTCTGTGTTGGATGCGGAAAACTGCCCTACATTATTTACCTGCCAGAGACAGTTTTTACTGTCATTTCTGTTTTTTACAACTGTTTTTGACCATATGAGAGCTTGGTGATCTAGCAGGAAAACTTAAAACGGCTGTCTTGATGTTTCTCAGATAATAGAACTGGATTGAAATGGTTTATTTTATCCTCCTTCTTTCCCAGGGATGCTTTGATTGTGTCATTTGCCAACTCCTTCACTAGTATCCTGGCTGGCTTTGTGATCTTCTCAGCTATTGGCTACATGGCTCACATACATAACCTCCCGGTGGACAACATAGCTACAGACGGTGAGCATCAAGCCTGGAAAGACTATTGCACCACAATTACATAGCTTTGTTTGATTGTAAGTATCTAAACAGTTAAAGAAAATCATGGACCTGATGTGTAATATAGTATATATGCCAGAAATAGAGCAGACATATAAATAGATATTAAATTCTAGTGTCGAGTGTAGTTGTTTTTGTTTTGATCCTCCAGGGAGCTTTTTTTCTCCCTTTTTATGGTAAAACAAAACACAAATTTCAAAATGTACATGTCTACACTGAATAACAGTGCAGGTCGCAGAAGGACAAAATAGTGGAAATCTACAGTTTCTTAAGGCAGCACTCCACCGATTTTACACAAGGTTTTGTCGTCATGAGGAGCACTACTCACCCTATAAAAACCGTTGTATAATGTCTGCTGTGGCTCTAGAGGATCTTTCTAAAGTACAAAACAATAATCTTTAACTGAAAACCTACATTACACAACTTTATTGTGCGTGTGTACTGGAGTGACATGTAACTTACTTAACCAAAGCAGGCAGATGTCTGGGTCAGAAAGGAGGGTTGTAGGTTAGCTGAATGAGAAAACAGTGGTTCTTTGAGTAGAGTTTACAAAAAAACAAAAACAAAGGTTTTTTTTTTTATTTTTCTTTAGTAACTCAGTGTTTAAATACCATATGAACAGGAGCTTTGTCAGTTTAGTGATGCATTATTAAAAACAGCAACAACATGTGTTCAGCCTCTGGGTCAGATAAGAATCCCGTGAAGCGATCACAACACTGTATCTCTGTCAGCTGAATCACACTGTCAAATGATGACTTCCTTGTGGTCTGATGTGATCTTCCCTTTGTTTTTAATTTTCTTCAAGAGTAATCTTTACCATGTGTGTTGGCCAATTAACACACTGTATTTTCCTAATCTTCTGTCCTCCTGCATCTTTTGAAAAGGGACAGTCCCACAGTGATGGCTGCTGACCTTTTGCTACAATCAGTTGCTAGTTCTCCTACATGCAGGTGGAAGATTAGTACATTAGTTAGTGATTCATCCAAACTTAAGTTCATTAAAGGTAAATCCAAGAAATACCAATGAGTTATTTTGATCCCTGCAACCATCCTATAGGGACTATACGACATGTTAATCAGTGAGCTTTAGAGGGGGTGCTAGGTGGATTTTATTATCTTTGGACCGAGCCAAATTGGCTGCCCCTCCCCTCTCTCTAGTCTTTATGCTAAACTAATCTCAACTAACTGGCTGACACTGACATGTGAGTGGCATCAATCCACAGACTGAGCACTTGGCCAGAAAACGTTTAACTATTCATTTAAGGGGGAACATATAAAAAATATCTTCCAGACAACATAGGTTTAAAGTTCAGCTCACTTACTGGAAGCACAGCAGTCACAATTTGTATACATTTGTGTATATATTTGCATTCTGTAGATTGAACAACACCTTTGCTATATCATGTCTTCAGGTCCTGGTTTGGTGTTTGTTGTGTACCCTGAAGTCCTCTCCACCATGCCCGTCTTTCAGCTGTGGGCCCCTCTGTTCTTCTTTATGCTGCTGTGTCTGGGCCTGGACAGCCAGGTAAACATCTCTACCTCTCACATAAGTGTGTGATGAAGGCGGAGAACATCTGTGAAGATGAAGCCAAGCGCTGGAGCTCTGCACATTTGAACCTGTATTTTTTAGCAACAAATTTGGCCTTTTGCACATTTGAATTTGTATTTGTAGGAAACATTCAGACACGGGGGGGGCAAAATTCCAGTTCCATTACTCAGCTAATGTAGGCAAAACAATTACAGAAGATATATTCTCTGCACATTCAGGCTCACCATGTCTCTGTAACTGTTTTACCTAACTGTGTCCCTTTTTTGGCCATGAACTTGTAAAAGATTATTTAGGAGGTTTGTGTGCCTCAAGCCGAACTGACGGTCGGGCACTAACTTGCATAATTGTGCAAATGTGCATCAAAATTACTGTGATTATGACTTTTACAGTTCTCTCTGACTTTTCATTTCATTTCTTTTCTTTTTTTTCATTTTCAACCTCCAAGGTCTGAAGTGCTGATGACTGAAGTAGCTCGGTTAGGGTTCATAGCAGTGCTTTGAGATTAACATGCTCATAGTTTCACAATAGCAGTGATAATGTCATAATATTGCTAAATATACTGCTTCTATTTGTAGCTCTTGCTCTTGGCTGCTTATTACAAACAACAAATATGTGTTTTAACCAGGTCTTTGCACATGCTCTTGATTGCATCCCAGACAAAGATGCAAGAATGTCCGAAAGTCAGAACTAGTCAAAAGGGGACCAATTTCACAAAATTGATGATGGGATTATTATTATAGACTGGATATGTTTTGTGTGTGCTGCAGTTTGCAACAGTTGAGGTGGCTGTGACTTTCATAAAAGACGAGTTTGGTCCCAAAGTTCTGCATTTCCTAAAAAGAGAGGAGCTGCTAGCCCTGGCTGTGTGCATCATCGGCTTTGTCTTGGGGATTCCTCACGTTACTAAGGTACAATAAGAAACAGAAAAACAGCCACTAAATGTGGCAACAGTTACCTAGTTATCACTGGTGACAGTCTTTTTGTCATTTCAGTCTTTTCCTCTCTCTGACTCTTCTGCTTTCTGCACAGGGAGGCATCTATGTGTTTCAGCTGATGGACCACTACACTGCTGTGGTTTCCCTCGTGTTCTTGGCTTTGTTTGAAGTTGTAGCTGTCTGCTGGGTCTTTGGTAAGAGCCACATAGTGTTCATAAGTTCAAACCCACATCCTGTTTACATTGGGAATACTTTAGACCTTTAAGCCCCCGGACTTGGTTGGTTAATTATTCATTGAATAACTCAGAAATCAGTACTTTGTGGTTTAGTGGGTTAGTGGTTTGTGGTTATTCCAAGTGTTAAATTGCCACTTGTCTTTTTCTGTCAGGTGTCCCACGTGTCTCCTTAATGGTCAAAAGGATGCAAGGAAAAACTCCAAACATTTACTTCCGTCTCTGTTGGCTGGTGCTCTGTCCCATGTTGGTGCTGGTGAGGTTTTAACAATCTGAATACAATATCCAATTGTTGCCCAGGGGTTATCAGTATACTCATATTGATAATGAAGGTTGTGTATAAAACTCATTTTTTTCTTCATAGTGCATACTGATCTCCAGCATTGTCCAGTACACTCCTGTTCATTATGGGAAGTACCCTTATCCCGTATGGGCTGAATGGGTGGGCTGGGGAGTTTCACTGGTCTCTATAGTGTGGATACCACTTGGTGCGTTTCAAGAGATCTACAGCAACAAAGGCTCACTTCTTCAGGTAAGCAACCCAATAACTGTTGATATATTTCAGTCTGGATCGAAAACCGACCAACAGACCAACATGCTGCTACTGTGGATAAAATTTCTGACCGAAGAAGTTAGAGTGTGATGGGCAGGGCTGGGTTTATGGCTGACACTTTTGAATGGGAGATAAGTTAAATATATTGTACTTTCTATTCCTCAGAAATAACTGAGATTGTTTTACTGTCTGTGTCTTTACCTCTGTGTATTACTGCTTGAGCAGACCGGATGTGCTTGAACATACTGTAGTTTTCTTTTCTTTTTTTTAAAGTTATTTTTTTTAGCTTTTTGTGCCTTTAATAGACAGGACAGTAGAGAGACAGGAAAGGGGGAGACAGAGAGAGGGGGAATGACACGCAGGAAAGGGCCGTCCGATGTGGGAGTTGAACCGGGGGCCAGCTGCAGCGAGGGCTGTGGCCTCTATATATGGGGCGCCTGCGTAACCCACTGCGCTACGCGACTCCCCGAACATAGTTTTCTAAAAGGTTGATTTTCTAAAACTTTGCCTTCTCTATCCTTCAGAGAATTAAAACAGCTGTGACTCCTACAATAGACCTGGATGCTGAGGATCCTTTGCCGGAAAAACAAAATCTGGACCCGGCGTGCGAAACCTTTTTTACCTAAGTGGCATGACCAGAGATAAAGCCAAAACCACGTCCGTGCATCTGTACGTATCAAACTTTGTGATACAGTTCAATTTTTAATGAAAGGCACTCTTTGATGTGATGTAAAGAATTGAATTTACTATGAGATGCAGAATCTTTATGTTTTGGTCATGAAATTATAATTTTATCCTATTTGTTCTACCAAAGGACTTTCTTTACTGTATCTTAAGCCCACTATAGTACTTAAATACTCAAGCCACCTATTCTTTTCAGTTGACTTCAACAGAATGAAAATATCCTTTGCGCCTTGTACAAAGTGATAATACATATAATATATATAATGAAATTCTGAGATTTTGTTCATCAACCTAAAGGTTAATCTAATTTAATTTAATTTAGTTATGAGTGATCATGTTCACTCTTTAAACTATGCAGGTGTTTGTTCCAACCAAAGATTGAAATTTGAACGATTACATCATCCCCTTTGGTTGGTTAATCTGTAAAAATGCCTGGTGTATGCAGCGACGGTTTCTCTTGCAATGTGTGATAAATGTCAGTGAGTTTGTGTAGTGTAAGTGCATTTATGGCAATCAGAGGCTTATTAACTTTTTAATATATTTACAGTTTAAATCATTTAAATGCCACATAGGAACTAGAAATAACCTCTCCACTGCTTGTTAGTGATAGCAGCCTGGGTGTGTTGTTAATTCCAAGACATAACAGAACAATACAGGTTAAAATTTACCATATTATTTATTTACCAATACCCTTTAACACTGCCAGTTGTCTGTCTGTGTTGAGCCAAAACTTCAGAGCTCTAACCTCAAGCTTTGTCACTCGTATTTACACGTCATTCGCCATTTAAAATGTTTTGACTTTATGACTTGCGTGAACTGCCTGAATGCATTGTTAGTTTTGACCTCTGGGAGTCCTGACAAGTCTCATTTTTGGTAGTAAGAGCAGTTCCTGCGTGGCCTGCAAATGTCTAGCCCCTGAACTGCTGAATAGAAGCAAGCTGCAAACAATTTGTTTTTTAACTTCAGTGTTTGTGTTCAGAAATATTTTTAGCCTGTGGTTCACATAGACTTTCCAGTGCACAAACACCATTTACATAAAGTGAAAAACCCTTGAACACACATAATCAGAGGGGTTAAAATAAAATCACAAAGCATAAACAGAAGCAGACAAATATAATTTTTGTTCAAATTACGGACATCATTTTTCAGAAAGACTTATTTGACCATTACCTGTGTTCAGTTCCCTTGATAATGAGTTAGTGAGTGATGTGATCGGGGCAGCAGGTTAATGTTATACCCATGTGTACTGAGCTCAGATGCAAATGTGTGACATAGTGCTTGCTTTTTTTCTACTCTTTACAGATTGAGGAATGATTCGATACATATGACGTTTTTTGACATTATTTTTTAACTATCTTGGCGCAGGTAACTCACAAAAGTTTTAGAGATTATAAGTGGTGCCTTTGATCTACTGCCATGAAGCTGAATTGGGCTAATGAGGGTAGATAATCCTCAGGAGGGCATCACTTATCTGGTAATCTGGTGACTCTCCATTCAGTTGTGCTCCATATTATATTGACGCAAAACCTACAGTTAATCACTGACTGTTTAATCTCACACTTCTTAAGAGAAAGATGTCAAAAAGTTCACTTTAGTGGAAATGTAATTTATTTGAACTCAAGCTTTAACTTTGAGATTGTTGCAGTGGTGTTAAGTGATACTTTTTTTTAAAAAGATTGACCTCATGTCTCTGAAGATGAGATAGTTAGTTAGTTAGTTAGTTAGTTAGTTAGAGTTATTCTGTCTAACACTGGGAGAAAAGGGGTCAGTCAGAGTTGAAACTGTAAGCTTTGGGGTAATGTAAAATGTAGATGACCTACCTCAACTGGAAATGACCAGAGGAGATATGTGTAAAAGGCAAAGTCACACTTTAATGTGAGATTGTCTAAAAGATTGTGCCCTACCCTACACTACGTTCTTGGCCTTTTCTGTCTTACTCAGTAGCGTATCAAACAACCCTTCACTTCAGAGTGCCTTTTATTCCAAAGTACTGAAAATAAGCTCTGATAACAGATGCACTAAACATCTGATTATGATTTTTAAATTATTTAAAGAACAATTTCAGATGTTTCTCAACAAAGATGCATGTATTTTACACGCTCTTACTCCAGTTTTGTATTTGTTTCATATTTGTGTAAGAAACTAACCTGTAGGTCGAGAAAATAATTAATCAGGGGCTTAAAAAGTCAGTTTTTTTGAAGATCACACAAGAGAAGCATCTGTTTCATAGAAATCAGTTACCTGCCTCAAGTGCCTTTCATGATTTTATTTTTTTTATTTTTAGATAATCTATATTTAATAAAACAACCAAAACTTTTATTTATGTTGCAAACTGTATATGTTGCTGTTGTAAGCTGCCTTTTTTTACTGTCATGAAATGTATTAGCTGTTTTTAAAATGTGCAAAGATGATCTAGAAGCACCTTTACAAAAATAATAGGTCACTGTTTACACTTTTTAGTAATTGGTCTTTTAATACTAAATACAAATTGTAATGGGCTATTAACACAATGATCCTTTTAAAAAAATCCACAGTCTTGTTTATAAAGGTACAAAGTCTTGGAACATGGAAGTTTTCAAAATGTTGGTTTTCATTTCAACCTAACATCCTCTGATTTCACTGATTAATATCAGCTGCTCTGGCTGAAGTTTTATTAATCATTGAAGTTTGTGGCTGAATGAAAACAGACTCTTTTCGCTCCATGAAACAAGACTGCTCATCGCTCATGTCAGTTATTCTCTCATAATACACAAGCTCATCTCAAATTTGTATGATGTGTTACAGTTTCATGATATTGCACTGTAAGTTAGTGACCACAGTAAAAACTGTAGCGTCCTCACATTCACACACTGCAACAGTGAAGATACTAATCAGACTGTATGCAACACAACTATATATTTGCAAAGCAAGAATTTTTTATTTTTATTTCAAAACTTAAACGTATTTTCTCATGTTTTATGTTTTTGTTTGATCCTACAAATCTACAATTTCTTTACCAAATGTAATGTTGATTTTTCATATCAATTACTGAATGTTTAATTTTCTTACTATTTTCATCATATTATAACTGTGTTATGATGTGTGGTGTCTAACATTTTGTTAAATAAAAAGCCTTAATTTTTGCAGAAAGTCACTGGGTGGCAGTATAGCAGCAGGGAATGCAAAGGAGAGGCCATGAAATCTTTGCATAACTGAACTGCCTCAGTCTTTTCTACTTATCAATACAAAACTGCTCTATCTGTTGTGTTACCTACGGTGGGATCCAAGTCTGAGACCATTTTGTCATTAATTACAATACTGTTTTTTCATTTTTTATTTTTATTTTAATGCATTAAACATCAAATACAGGGACTGTTCCTCTCAATGTCTCTCCATGAGTATATATGTGCCTCCATAAATGTTGTTTTTTAGCATAATTTGCTGTGACTGTAGTAAAGAAATAGCAATTTAGTAATGAATTAGATGTTAATAGATGTTAATGGCAATTCTGTAGTAAGACATAATTGAATTTAACTGCCTACCAGCACTATCAGTCCATATATTTTCAGAGTGGATGACCTTATTTGGGCCAACCACATCTTGTGGTATAACTGGTTCTGTGTTCATCAGAGGGAGAGCACAGCTGAATGCAGTGCTGTAAGAGGTTTGGAAGTTAATTAGACCCTTGTCATAGAGCGCTGCAGCATCGCCCTGAGCAGAACTGTACATGAATCAATACTCCCTTCCTGCTTTCCTCATGACAGAACGTATCATCGGCACGAGATAGTGCTGGGAGCACTGTTTGATCAATAGCCATAGACAGTGCAGCCCAAGGGGCAGTAAATTAATGGGTATACATGGCAGAGGGGAAGCGTTGCTGAGCCTGACCGGGCGATGAAGGGGGAGATGGGTTGCTGTCTAACTCCTGTTGTGGGGTGTGAAGACATTTATCTGTGCCAGGCAGAGTTCAACAAGCAGCTGAGCCTCATGTTGGAGCTGTTTCAGATCTTGTCTGGTCTTTCTTGAGCAGAAGAAAATTGTGCAGTTGGCCAGGAAATCCACTGGTGCATCTGATCATCTCTACTCCACACTGTAATAACTGTGCCTGAAAAAAGATGCAGAAACTGGCACACTGCCTGTAAAGATACTTGAAATTTCACTCACTTGTGACCATTTAAGGTTTCTTTTACTCTACTCTATTGTTCCACTCTCTTGTTCGTGTTTTTCCCTTGCAGTGTGCTGTGTGAATGGAGGAGGATCCCATCTGTTTTAATTTGAGTGAGCATCCATATGTGTGTGTGCGTGTGTAAAAATGATTAGGTAAAGGGAGCAGAGATCAAGGTTGATTGAATACTACTCCTGGTCATGGGTGTGGTGCTGGGAATAATATGAAGTACTTCACCCACAGAGGAGAGTTTTACCTCATTATTAACTACTCCACTCCATCAAGGTGGGTACAACTGCGCATTTGGTTCTTCATCTGAGGAATTGGCAGCTGCAATATACTTTCTCCAAGCTCACTGAGGTCACAAATATGCTTGTGAGGAGGATGTCACCAATATGTTTAAAGATATAATTAAAACTCATGTCCTTTGTGAATACTACAGCTGATGTGGCAGCAGTAACCAGCGAGTTTCTTCAGTGTTTCAGATTCATCAGCGTAAAAGGTCTGTCAGAGGGGTAAATATCTGGGGCTGAGCCTGTAGGAGTTAAGTTTCTGTTTACAGGACTTTCAACAACAATATAGCAGCAAATAACTACTTTCTATGTAAAGATATGATGGAGTAATGGCGTCCTGAGCAGAGAATGAAGTTATACCCTTTGTGTGTTGTAATCTAAGTCTAATCTAAGTGGGAGCGTGTACATGTTAGTGCATGTGTGCATGTTCGTGCATGTGAGTCCCTCCTGTTAAATGTTAAACACACAGGCACTGCCCATGCGCTAAATGGCACAGTGAAAGCCCAGAATTTCCTCTACTGAAGAATCCACTTAACCACACTGGCATAAAAAGGCCTCCAGCAAAGAAAGACCTGAGCACAGGCAGACTGGCCATGGGGACTACTCAACCCGAGTGGCCGCTGGACCATCAAAACATCCAAAAAGTTTTTAAAGTGTTTACTGGCTCCATTAGGGTCTTTACCGGCTTTGCGAGTAACATTTGAGCGACCGTGGTCCCAGCGGATAATTTTATGGGTGAATTTCGTTCCCACTCCGACCATGGAGCCAATACTGGTCTGGTTTTACTGGGAGGAGACTCCAACGAGCTGCTTACAGGGCCCCAGCTTGGCTCACAACTAGCTTTTCTTCCCATGTGTAAGTACCTTAATGGCAACATAATGTTACATGTCTGTTTTCAGTAGTGACCAGCTATAGTGGGCATGATAACATTAGCTAACTTGCTGCTACACGTTATGAATTCGTTCGGCAAATGTTGGTATTGCTAGCTGGCTAACTGTCAACTTTGCTGTGGAGCCTATCACGGCAATGCTAACATGGGGTAATGGCTGTGGTTAGATTGTTTTTCTATTGGCTCTCATGTACACAGGGTAACTTAATTCAGTTGTGGTTCTTGTGTGCTCAGTGGGAGCTTTCACTGGGCTTCCTGACACCTTGCTGACTGAGAATATGAGCAGGGAGGATCTTGGCCTAATGGGGCCGACGAAGCATTTGTTTTGGTCTGAGATGTTGTTGGTCTAGTGCTATATCTAGTGGTGTAGAATATGTAAAAGAAGACACTGATGTTGATTGTGTCATTCCCAACAGAGCTGTAGAGTCAAAGTTTGTAAATGCCCTGCCACCCTCTGTCTCAAGCCTTGCCCTGGGGACAGACAGTAGTATCTGGTCAGCATACCTGAGGCTTAGAGCAGAGATGTAAGGGATAAAAAGGTCAACAATATAAGGTGGGGCAAAGCTGACCAGTTCCTTAAAAACAAGCAGCAACATTTTAAAATTAATTCTGCACACCACTGGCAACCAGTACAAAGAGGTGAGAATATGGGTGATGTGGTCATATTTTCTGGTTCATGTAAGAATCCTCACTGCTGTGTTTTGTAAAAGATGGGGACATTTGATCGATTTCTGGAGCAGTCCAACAAATAATGACTTACAGTAATATAGATGGCTAGAGACAAAACCATGTATGAGAGTGCATCTCTGAATGAAAGAAACAATCTAATCCTAACAATATTCCTGATTCAACAGATAGCTGATTTTGGGATGTTGCTAAAATGTTTAGAGGTAAGGTCCGATTAAAAGGCCATTCCTAGATTTCTGGGCTCATTTGCACTGTGAAACTAGAGTTTTCACAATCCTTGTGTTCTTTAGGTCACCAACCTGCACTTCAGTTTTTCGTCATTCAACATCAGAAAGATACTTGACAGGATGTGTGCGAGGTAACCAAGGATAGGTCTGATGGATTTATAGATAAAAATTTGTGTATCATTAGCACAGCAATGAAAATAGTTATTGTACCCAGAGGTAACATGTAGACAGAGAACAGTAATGGGCCAAGAATAGATCCTTAAGGAACACTGCAGTTTGTATTTTTTATAGCTGGATGACATTCCCAACTGGTACAGAGAAGGATATATCACTCAGGCAAGACTTGAACCAGTGTGGGGCTGTCCCAGTCACCCGCCCACATAGTGTTTCAGTTGATCTGTTAACAAGCCATGATCAGCTCTATCAAATGCAGCAGAAAGGTCTAACAGCACCAATACAGTGCAACAGTCAGCCACTGAATTTTGTCTGTCATTTAAAATTTTTTGAAGCACACTTTCTGTACTATGATACTTTGGAAAGCCAGTCTGAAAAAAGTGAGTGATTGAAGGATATAAGCCATACTATTTTCCAGTACATGGAACAGAAGTTAGGAGATGAAATGAGAGAAAATAAATTTTTTCAAGAATTTTGGATAAAAATGAAAGCTTTAAGATTGGTCGGTAATTATTAGGAACAGACGGACCTAAGTTAGGTTTTTTGATCAGATGGTGAATGACAGCATGGGACGTAACCCTTGACCAAGGAGCTATTAATTATTATTAAAATATTAGGCCCAACAGTGTCCAGCACTTCCTTAAGTAGGTGTGAGGGAATAATTTCTAAGTGACACGTAAAAGGGTTCATATGTGAGATATTATGTGTCAAATAAGAGAGAATTATGTTCAGACTTGATGAGAACTGAGGAGCATGAGCTTAGCTCTGATGGATGATACGAGGGCAATGAGATAACATAGAGTCAATTTTGCTAAGAATCTTATTCACAGAAATATTCACAGGTATCCGGTGTTGCTTTATGACAATTTGTGACTGCAGGGTTAAGTACTGTATTCACTGTATCAAATAAAACTTTGGGTCTATGGATGTGTTTTAAGATGCTCTCTGCTTTAACATGCTGTTTGCATTAAGCCAGACAGTATCTCAGATGGAGGTAAGACACCTGGAGTTTGTTTTTTTCCATTTATAAGCTGCTCTCCCGCATTCCTGGTTAATTGCATGAGATATGGAGTTAAACCATGGCTGAGCTTTGATATTAACTTTTTTTGTAGGGGGCAACTGAGTCAAGAATATTTGTGCAAGTGCAATTTAATACTGTGACCAGTTCTTCTGTGCACAGACCAGCAGGGAGAGCTTTAATGAGAGCAGAGGAGAAAGCATCTGATATCTGCCTGGCAGTAAGAGAGGTAATAGACCTGGAATAGCTTCCTAGCAAACTGGGTTCAGGCGTCTAGGAGGGGAAGAAATGGCAGACATAATGGGCCAGTGATCAAATAAACTGGGAAAAATTTATCTCGACATTGGAGGCCTATAATTACTAAATTGCAATCATTCATTTTTTTTATCATTAAAATTTTCCCTATAGTGCCTATATTAGTTAAAACAGATCCTTAATTTGAATTTAATTAACGTTCGTTTGAGATAGTAAATTTGAAGACATATTTTGCGCTGCAGCTGTCATGTGTACATAATGTACAAATACATAGAATTGTAAATCTTTTGTTTCTTGCAACCTTTTTCTTGCAACCTCAGTGGCAGTTTGTCATTTTTTTCAACAAGTGAAATCTACATAACACATCATTGCTTACGTTGTCACTTCCTTGTTGTTGCTGACTTGCATGCAGCAAGTTTTCACTTTGCAGAGACATTTCACTGCACCTACACTGCTCATTATAGATTTGCTCTCTTTTGTGTTTTATTTGATGTGCATTTAGCTATGCAGTCTCTAGGCAGAGCTGATACATCTGGGCAGTGTGTGGTTGCAGTAACCTATAGAGAGGCAGTTCAGTGAGCATAGAAAAACAAGAAAATCAAAGGTTCAGGGGTTTGTATTTACATTGCAAAGGACATAAACTGCCACTACCTTGATTTGCACT